CCCCAAAACCCCAAAACCCCAAAACCCCAACTGTTAATTTTGGAGCTGAAAAGTTTGGTTGGCTTTATGCTGAAATTTTAGGGAATGGCTCAAAGAGGTTTTGGGGTAAGTTAAGGAGAAATGGGATTTAAGGGATTTTTAGAGGAAGGGGAATTTTGGGAAGAAGAGATTGGGATTGGGAATGGGGATTTGGAGAAAAGAGAAGGAAGGGTTGGAGGGATTTGTAGGGAGGTTGGGGAGAATGAATGAGAAGGAGCTTTTCAAGATGTTTTGGTTATTGAAAGTAGAGGATTAGATGGCGATTCTTCTGCACTTCATGTAATAGTTGATAATATCTATCATCTCTTGTCCTGAATAATCAAAGTTTATAGATGCATCTTTGCCTTTTGTAGCAACTGCAAATAAGTCGTATGTCTTAGCAGCTTCGAGCTCACTTATGAAGGTGCCAATGTACTTTCTCTCTCCTTTGAAATTGATAAGAGCCTGCCAATGGATGTTGTTCTTGGAGACTCCGATGTACTGAGATCTTCTTCCAAGAGTAGTATTTGTAGTGTATCTTGTATCCTTTTGAGAACATTTGTAAAAAGTGTCAGGATTTTTAAGGATACGTTTTCTCAGGGCAGTAAGTCTGGGTCTTATATTTATTCTTGGAGCCCTACTCCATCTCAACTTTATTTCTTTGATTTCTGAAGGTTTATCTTCTTTTTCTTTAATTTCTTCTTCAGTACTAACAACCTGTACTTGGTGTTGGCCTTTGTCAAAATCTAGTCATACATTCTTTTTCTTGGTTTGAGAAGATATGCTTTTTCATTCCCTCTTGCCTATAAGTTGAGTGATTTTATAAAATAACTTGAGCTAATGCACTTATTGTAAATTTATCGGCAGGTTTTAAACAGTTACCTTGCTCTAAATTTATTTCAGAATCATCGACCATTCAGGAAGATGGCCTATCTGATTGATTCACAAACTCTCCAATACTATGAATGGGCTCATCAGCTGTTGAACAAACTCAGTAAATTTGTTCCAATTGTTTAATTATGCTGCCATAATCCCAATTGGAAAGTAACGAGATATTTTTACTGCCAAAGTTTACACAATAATCCATATTTAAAATTAATTATTTTAATCTGGGATTCTAAAGTTTATATCCTGACCTGCTCTTAATCATTTTTCTGAAATTTTCCAAACTTCTCATCTCCCGTAACTAAAATGCAATTATTACATTATTGAGATAAATTTAGTTCAAATCTGAAATTTTAGCCTATTTCAACTTCTCAAGATTTTTAGTTAAGTTCCAAAAGAACCTATTCTAAGTATTTTTATTATTAAGTTCTCAAGTTCCTTTAGAACTCAAGCCACTAAAATATTAACTAGTTATAGAATTTTTGCTGAAAGTGTTCTTTCGGTCTGAGATTTCCTAAATATTTTTGCAAGGCTTTAGAAATTCGGCATAAAATATGTAAATTTAAGTTATTAGATTAAGTTCTTAAAACTATATTATGAAGGCTTGAACTTTATCCACACTGGAAGGTTGTTGAAATTTAGACTAGTTTAAAAAATTAGTCTGGAGCTAGCTGGGGTACAAAGTTTATTCACTTTTTAGATTTTAGAGTACGACCAAAACATGCAATAACATGTAGATTATCATGCAATCAATATTTACCAGATAAAAACAAACTTATCGGTTTGTGATTAGGAGAGGTTATTTTAGCTAAACCTTCAAAGTTATAGGTCTAACATTGATTTATGTGATTATCACTTTGTGGTATTTGGGGATTTTAGCTGCATTTTTATGGAAATACTCTTTTTGATTCTTTAAAGTTCTTATGAGTTTTTTTGAATTAACCATATATTGTCATGCTATTTTTATTTAAGGACGTTTTAGCGATAAATTAGGTGTTTTAAATAATCAGTCCTTTGAAGGAGGTCGAAGCATTAAAGAACGAAAAAATGGGATAAAAGTTTAGTGGTCAGCAGTGATTAATTATTAGTTTTTAAAGATTTCGATTGAAATCTTAAGAAAATTTTTTGATAACTATCATGAATTCCCATATACTTAAACTTTATTAACTTGATGAAGGAGACATCAATTCTGATTTCAATATTATCAGCTCAATAATAATTAACAACTTACGCAAAGATACTATGATTGTTTTTAATTCAATCAGACTCTTTGATTTAAATTAACACAATTTTTACTCATGTGAAATTGAATAGTATTAAGACATCACCCTCAATACTATCAGGAACCAGGAAGAGTTCAGCTAAACAGATGACTTAACATTTAGTTCTAAATATCCTAAAATTCATGAGCACTCTCTCTGCCTAAAAATTATTCCGAACTAAATATTTTGATAGAATGCAAAGCTACACTAGGAAGATCCCCAGCAACATATATGACCTTGAAGAAAGATCTTACTACCAAAAATATTATCTTAAATGGGATAAAAAGAGAGCTAATCCTAATCCTCACACCCATTTATCAAATCAGACCAGAATACATATTACCTAACAACCGAAATAAATCATAACCCACAGAATCTCCCTCTATCTCCAAAACCATCTCCACATTTACACCACAAATAATTTCTCAACCTCATAATAATATTACGGGGTTTTGGGGTTTTGGGGTTTTGGGGTTTTGGGG